TCGACCTGAATATGGGCAAACCCTAATAAGTGAGCCAACGTCTAAGCATTGGTCTAAACTGGCAGTTTTGACTCTTTGTGAGGTCATTATTTTCAATCGAAGAAGGGAAGGTGAGGTTTCAAAGATGCCACTGACAGCCTTTACCTTAAGAAGTAAGACTGGGATCCATTCTGACATTGCTCTGGGACTGTCCCAACTTGAGAAAAAGCTGTGTCAGCATTTTCAACGCATTGAAATTAAAGGGAAAAGAAGTCGGAAAGTGCCGGTTCTTTTGACTCCTGAAATGATTGTTTCGATGGAGGTGCTGGTGGAGAACAGAAGGGCCTGTTCCATCTCTGACCATAACCCATACTTCTTTTCCCGCCCGGGCGCAGACACCCACATCAGGGGATCAGACTCCCTACGCCAGGTAGCCAAAGAATGTGGTGCGGTGCATCCAGAGATGCTATCCTCAACCAAACTTAGAAAGCACATAGCTACTATGTCTACAGTTCTCAATATGAAAGAGAATGAGATGGACATACTTGCCAACTTCCTCGGCCATGACATTCGCATCCACAGGCAATATTACAGACTACCAGAGGGGACACTGGAGCTGGCCAAAATCAGCAAAGTGTTGATGGCCATGGAGCAGGGAAGAGTGACGGAATTCAAAGGAAAGAGCCTCGACCAGATACAAATTGAGCCTGAAGGTAATTCTTGATATTATTAAAATATGTATGATTTTTTTCCCCTAAAGGCCACTTGTATTTTTATTTTCTGTGCGACAGGGAGAGCAGTAGAGATCCTCTCACAAACGGACGGGCTAAAAGAAACTTCAAGCGGAGAACCTTCAACCATTCATCCAGATGCACCCCATGGTAGTGGCAGTGCCCCTTCTGGTAAGTGTACCAGGTGGGGGATTACAGCCAGGCTGCTTGGTCCTAACCCTGGGAGTGTATATTGCTAATATATTTTTATTTCTCTCCCTAGAACGTGTAAGAAAGCCATGGTCTGCATCTGAGGTGAAGGCTGTGGAGAAGACCATGACACCTTTCATACAGACTGGAAAGGTCCCTGGGAAGTCTCACTGCCTGGCCTGCATTAATGCCTCACCAGATGACCTTAGACATCGGACATGGAGTGGCATTAAATTCTATGTCAAAAATAGAATCACTGCAATTCGAAAAAAAAATCTAAAATAAAATTCCTTTAAAATAGTTGTTTGGTTTCTATTGACTGTTTTGTATTACTTAAAGTAGTCCCAGTAAAAAAAGATTATGTCTATGGGTCCCATTCTGAACGGCCCTGTCAAAGGGACCCACCAGGTAACAAAAGCGTGTGCGTGTGTGTGTGTGTGTGTATACTCTTTATTTTTCATAAGTGTTTTTGAGGTGTTATTGTTGGAAAAAAAATATATTATGTTTGTGACAGGTCTCATGGATCCGGGTTCTCTCGGGACCGGTCTGGATCTGGAGAAATGACCTTTGAAAACGGGACAAATATTCCACATACTGTTATTCCCTGGACACGATTTGAACTTGGACCTGGGAATTTTTAAAATGGTGGAAAGACTTTCTGTCGGTTTCACATTCCAAGAAACATGTTTGAAATAGTAGGTGCATTTTGAAATGACAAAGCTGCTGATAGAAACGTATGAATACCACAAATAAAGTAGTGTATGACTGGAAAAAGATATTCACCCATAACTTCAGGCCCTATTGCGCCACCCTGTGGATAGAGTAATTGTATTAAACAAAATATAACCTTTTGATCAAAACTGGTTTGACCAAAATGTTATGTTTGTGTACAACCTGATGAATTGCCCTCTTCAGTCTGGGGTATTTTCCAGGTGAGACCCCCTCTGAAGAAGATCGACCATTTAAATTTGCATTATTTTAACAACAACAGATTGGTATCCAACTTATCATTTTAAAGCAAAATTTAAGAAAAACTTGTTAATCTCACTGCCTTTTTTAGATCAGCGACAAATTTGAGAAACATTTCAATCTGGTTTTAGGGTGAACCACAGCACAGAGACTGCTCTCACAAGGATTTTAAATCCTGGATCTTAGCGCTGCTCTCGATACAGTAGACCACACCATTCTTTTATCCCGCCTGAACCACCTCGGCCTCTCTGGTGCTGTCCACAAGTGGTTCACCTCTTATTTAACAGACAGATCCTTCATGGTGAGTTTGGATACCTGCTCCTGGTCCATAAAATCACATGTGGTGTGCCCCAGGGTTCCATTTTAGGTCCAGTCCTTTTTAACCTGTACATGCTCCCTCTTGGCGGTGTCATCAGGAGACATGGAATTAACTTCCACAGTTATGCAGATGATACACAGCTGTACATCTCCATGTCTCCTGATGACACCAGGCCAATGGATGCTCTTTTTAACTGCATTTTAGACCTGAAATCCTGGATGGCAGAAAACTTTCTCCAGCTCAACCAGGACAAAACTGAGGTTTTAGTCATTTCTTTAGTTCTTTTATTATAAAGATGTTTTACTTTTTATTGTATTGTTTTGGTATCCCCAGTGTTTCCTCTGGAGGAGCCCTCTGCACTAGGAGTAAATAAGAAAGTACGTAATTTTTATTTATACACCGCCTTTCACAGACCAGAGTCACAAAGCGGTGAACAATTGTGGGCTTTTGTCTCTCACTCCACAGAGTTGGGAGCGGGGCCAGTACAGGAGGCACAGCACCTGTTGTACATGTTTTTAGTGGTAGGGGAAATCGGAGCACCCGGAGGAAGACACAGGGAGAACATGTAAACTACACCCAGAAAGGCCCTGTTCCGATCGGTAGCTGTCGGGCGGCTCTCTGCTCCTGGTGCAGACGTCTCCTTGGATGACGATTCTTCAGCTGGTTTCTCCGACAACTAGCCTCATATCTTTTCTCGGTTGCATCGATTTTACTCTTTTGATGTGATTTTGTGTGTGTGTTGTTGTGCGTGTGTGTGAGTTATTGTGTGTAATTGTGTGTAATGCATGTATGTTTAATAATGTGGTTTGGGGTGGGTGTGTTGGTGGTCGGGGGGAGGAGTCATGGGAATGGGATGTTGTTTTTAACCAAACTGTAAATCCCTTTGTGTTGCATTTCTTGTCTGAAAAGCGCTTTATAATAAAATGTGACTGATTGAATATTCTGGATCAAGTAAAATGAAAAGCTTAAATTGCAGACGCAAATATATGAGAAGCCTTTGAACATGACATTGAAAATATGGCCTATTCAAATGTTGTTTAAAAAATACTAAATAATAATACTATTAATACTATTAAATCATTTTAATAAAAAAGTCTATTATGAATTTTTTGAAAATCCTACAGAATATGGGAAAGATTTGAAAAATGGCTTGTGTTATTTTAGATATTTATTTTTTAAGTTAATACAAGTATCCATATCTGCTGAGACACTGAGGCCTGTCAGCATCAGAAACCTTCATTTGTTTCCTGCTCGAAATCAAAACTATTCTGGGATGATGGTCACAATTTATAAAAACGTAAAACCTATACACTCCACAAAATAAGTAATCTCAGAAAATAACAATTGTATATTATTATATTAAAATAATTATGGATAAATATATCCACAAAATCAAAATAACCTGCCAAATGTCATGTTTCAAAATTAATTTTAAATGTATTTGTTCTTTTTTAAAAAGTGAAAGAATCAAATCTGTGCTGATAAAGTCTGCTGAATGCAACCTTTTACTCTTTATTAAAATTTGAAGCACACTTCTTGAAGCCTTTTCTTGTAATTTGCTACGTTTCTACAAGTTTGTATTCATTTACATTTTGAATAGATGTAAAAAATAACGAACTTGGACCTGAGCGCACTGCAATGACGTCACACGGCCCCATAGACTGTCCCGGAGCGCCCCCTGTCTGCAGCAAAAACAACCGCTGCTCCGATACCTTATAGATCCATGCTATATACCCTAATTATTTTCTTGACTAAACATAATCCAGAAAAATAGCAATAATAAATCAAAACAAAACTAAAATAGCGGTCAACAAAAATGACACCTCCCAGACCTCTCTCCTGTTGCGGTGCTCCAGGGGCTGCACGTTTATTCATAATCTCCATACATAATGTTTTCTAATCATATGAAAACAGCGAGAACATTATACGTTAGACAAACTACATGGGTTATTTATGAGTCCAAAAAGTTAGGTTCCCCAGCTTTAAGCAAGACTACTGACCCTGACCCAGTGCATCGTCAGAGCTGATAATAAAGAAGAACATTTGAACATAGTAAATCTCAGTATAGATTTGTAAAGATGCAATAACAGTTTTGTGTCACGGATTGAAGAGAAAACACAGAAATAAATAAATATTTAAAGTAACAACACATCTGTAGTGATGTCACCGCACACATCTCTCATGGCACGTGCACTGGCCCTATTAAATAAATAAATAAATAAATACATAATAAATACAATATTAATCATTGTTAGTGTTGGAACAACTGAACAGCAGCGGTGACAGCGAGCAGCCCTGAGGGACCCCAACAAGACTGCCCCCAATGGCCACACTGCTGCAGTCAAACAGAGCAGACCTCAGCCAAGGCCCCAGAGGACCAGGCCCCAGAGGACCAGGCCCCAGGCCCCAGAGAACCAGGCCCCAGAGGACCAGGCCCCAGAGAACCAGGCCCCAGAGAACCAGGCCCCAGAGAACCAGGCCCCAGAGAACCAGACCCCCTAAAACCAGACCCCAGAGAACCAGGCCCCAGAGAACCAGGCCCCAGAGAACCAGGCCCCAGAGAACCAGACCCCCTAGAACCAGACCCCCTAGAACCAGACCCCAGAGAACCAGAACCTACAGGACTAGACTCTTCAGTACTACACACTCAAACACACTCAAACAGACCAGATCTCAGCGAATGCCCCAGACCACATAGGACCAGAGGCTACAGGACCAGAAGCTCCAGGACCAAAGGCTCCAGGACCAAAGGCTGCAGAACCAGGAGTTTAGGGCTGAGCGACATGGACGTCATGTGGTATCTGGATACAGCTCTACGGTGCGTCACCCCGCGGCTGCTTGCTTTGACTGGCGTCCGGAGGAAGGCCTCTCTTTCTTCGGGAGAACCTCACGTCGTTGTTTGTTGCGTCTGCAGATCTCTGTATTGTCCTGTGGGGGCCAGAATTGGGCCGGGGCTTTAGGGGCGGATCTTCGGAGCCTTCTTTGTCTCTTGTCTTCGCGTTGAGCCTCTGCGCTGGTTGCACAGGAAGAGGAGGCGCCGGCGTGGAGGCGATGATGTGGACTACAGTATCTACGGTGTCTACTGTGTCTACTGTGTCCACGCAGTCCGAGCAGGTCTGGGTCTCTTTGGGTCTGAAGCAGGTCTGAGTCGGCGTGGGTCTGAAGCAGGTCCGAGTCGGCGTGGGTCTAACGAAGGCTGAGGCAAAAAGCCGGTTTGCAGCGTGGTCCTGCCAAGACACAATCGATGCTGGTTATTCAAGGAAACACACACACAAACAGTACGGGTGTAAACAACATCAAAAGTAGGATATAAAATCAAAACTCCCAAACCATCCGAACTTTACTATAAGGCGCAGGTTTTCATGTTGTAATGTAGCAGAGAGACTACTTAATGAGCTTCCATGACTCAATCATTTATTTTGGCAATAAATAAGTGTGCGAGACCACAGAAAGCAGCCAGAGAGACCAGATGTTGCAGTGGAGTAAGACGGACCAGAGAGAGAGAGACCAGAGAGAGAGACCAGAGAGAGAGACCAGAGAGACTAGATGTTGCAGTGGAGTAAGACGGACCAGAGAGAGAGACCAGAGAGCTAGACCAGAGAAGAGAGCCCAGAGAGACTAGATGTTGCAGTGGAGTAAGACGGACCAGAGAGAGAGAGACCAGAGAGAGAGACCAGAGAATAGAGCCCAGAGAAACTAGATGTTGCAGTGGAGTAAGACGGACCAGAGAGAGAGACCAGAGAGCTAGACCAGAGAAGAGAGCCCAGATGTTGCAGTGGAGTAAGACGGACCAGAGAGAGAGACTAGACCAGAGAAGAGAGCCCAGAGAGACTAGATGTTGCAGTGCAGTAAGATGCAGGCTTCACAGACTGCTCTATGTGAAAGGTCTCAGACTAGTCGTGAGTAGTGAGTAGTGAGACTACACAGTACCTTGCCGCTCTGGTGCAGCGGCGCCTGCGTCTGGTTCTTCTGCTGTCTCGTCCCGTAGACGTGAGGCCAGCGCCCGTTCACTAACAGCCTGTGCGCCGCTCCGGACACTGAGGAAACACCAGAAGGAGGTTACCAGACACATGGTTCATCATGAGCAAAGGCTGGGGCCTGGGTTTTTATTTGTGTGGCACGGATCGATTATAATATCTGGATAGGGTGTTGCAGGTGAATCCCGTCTCCAGATAGATAAACAACTATTTCAGACATTTCAGATACTCAGATATTCAATATTAACCAAAATGGTTCGTCCTCAGCTGCCAGGGAGCCTAGAAAAGGATGAAATGTGTCTCTGTGATGGGGAGAAGTGTGGACTCTGTGGGAGCTGTGCTGGAGAGAAGGATGAGGGCTCTGATGCAGGGCATTCTGGGTAACTCCAGACACCCTCTGCATGACACCCTCTGCATGACACTATGGAGTAATCTAAGCTACAGGCTTTTTCACTGCGCTGCCGAACGGAACGTTTTAAGAGATCCTTTGTTCCTTCGGCTGTCAGACTGTACAACAAACCTGGATGAGTCTTCTGCTGCTGGACACCTGAATTTCTCCTACGGGGATCAATAAAGTATCTATCTACAAGAGGATGTCACAAAGCTAGTTTCAGTGTAAATATGCAAAGTGCCATGTGACATGAGGGTACTTCACAGTTGGTGGGATTAATATAGTTCCCAACCTTTGTGTCCTGCACTCAGGGGCCCTATAGCGCCCTCCAGAGGGTAAATGTTCAAACTGCACCCATGCTGTGATACAAAATGAGATGTTGAGTGTAGTCTCAGAATAGCATTAGCATGTCATCCTGAACTCTTTCTTTTAAAATCCTTTGTTTTTCTATAAATCAACACTTAAGAGCAAAAAACTTGTCTCGCTCTCCTCTCGCTCCGCTCTGATCAGTCAGACCATGTCACTTATATTAATGTTTGGGACGTCCATGGCATGAGCATGACCAATGAGCACAGCCCATTGACTTGAATGAGCAGACATGTTGGAGACCCAGGAGTTGGTGTGTGCGTGCCTCACCTCGGCCCTCGGGTCCCCGTGTCCTGGTGAACAGAGCTGCCATGGTCCTGGGGCTGGCCGTGGACCCTGTGTTAGAACATTCAACACTTCAGTACATTGATCGCCACGGTCCAACGCATCATGACCTCCGACCTCTCACCTCTCAGACACAGGAACGACAGGAAGTCCTCGGTCTTCAGGCGGCGCTGGGGCATGCTAGTTACCATGGTGATCCTGGTGCACACGGGGAGTCCAGGTGAGCTCGGCGGAGACTGGGCAAACTTCCTCTGAGCCTGGACCTTGGGCCTGGAACCCAGAAAATTGTTGTCATATTGTCTGAGATTTGAATGCTCTTGTGAAAGACTTAGACCAGAGAGAGACCAGAGTGAGACTGGAGAGAGAGACCAGAAAGAAAAACCAGAGAGAGACCAGAGAGACCAGAGAGACAAAACAGAGTGAGACCAGAGAGAAACCAGAATGAGACCAAAAAGAGAGACCAGAGTGAGACTGGAGAGACAGAAAAGACTGATCCTGTGGCCTCCTCAGTGTGTGAGGAAGAGGTGACGGAAAAAAGCTACAGTCTGAAGATGCTAACTCGAGCTAACTTTAGCAGAACAAACCTGTGGTCCTCAGAGGAGGAGGGGGGTGGTCCGCAGTGCGCCTGCAGGGACAGTTTCCAGCTGCTTCTCTTACACTTGTGAAGAGCATCTCCTGAAAGAGAAGACGACAGCTTCACGTCGCGACTTGGAACTTTGCAACAGTGACTGTAATCAAATGTCTCTGACACACACGGTAGAAACACAGACTGATGTAGAACACACATTAGTGATCACACACATGTAGTCCACTGCAGCAGTAAAAGTCCAGAGACAAGAGAGAGACCAGAGAAAGACCAGAGAAAGAGCCCAGAGAGAGAGACAAGAGAGAGACCAGAGAAAGAGCCCAGAGAGAGACCAGAGAGAGACCAGAGAGAGACCAGAGAGAGACCAGAGAGAGACCAGAGAGAGACCAGAGAAAGAGCCCAGAGAGAGACCAGAGAGAGACCAGAGAGAGACCAGAGAGAGACCAGAGAGAGACCAGAGAGAGACCAGAGAAAGAGCCCAGAGAGAGACCAGAGAGAGACCAGAGAGAGACCAGAGAGAGACCAGAGAGAGACCAGAGAGAGACCAGAGAAAGAGCCCAGAGAGAGACCAGAGAGAGACCAGAGAAAGAGCCCAGAGAGAGAGACAAGAGAGAGACCAGAGAAAGAACAGAGAAAGAGCCCAGAGAGAGAGACAAGAGAGAGACCAGAGAAAGAGCCCAGAGAGAGACCAGAGAGAGACCAGAGAGAGACCAGAGAGAGACCAGAGAGAGACCAGAGAAAGACCAGAGAAAGACCAGAGAGAGACCAGAGAAAGAGCCCAGAGAGAGACCAGAGAGAGACCAGAGAGAGACCAGAGAAAGAGCCCAGAGAGAGACCAGAGAGAGACCAGAGAGAGACCAGAGAGAGACCAGAGAGAGACCAGAGAGAGACCAGAGAAAGACCAGAGAAAGACCAGAGAGAGACCAGAGAAAGAGCCCAGAGAGAGACCAGAGAGAGACCAGAGAGAGACCAGAGAAAGAGCCCAGAGAGAGAGACAAGAGAGAGACCAGAGAGAGACCAGAGAAAGAGCCCAGAGAGAGACCAGAGAGAGACCAGAGAGAGACCAGAGAGAGACCAGAGAAAGACCAGAGAAAGACCAGAGAGAGACCAGAGAAAGAGCCCAGAGAGAGACCAGAGAGAGACCAGAGAGAGACCAGAGAAAGACCAGAGAAAGACCAGAGAAAGACCAGAGAGAGACCAGAGAGAGACCAGAGAAAGAGCCCATAGAGAGAGACCAGAGAGAGACCAGAGAAAGACCAGAGAAAGACCAGAGAGAGACCAGAGAAAGAGCCCATAGAGAGAGACCAGAGAGAGACCAGAGAAGGACCAGAGAAGGACCAGAGAAAGACCAGAGAGAGACCAGAGAGAGACCAGAGAGAGAACAGAGAGAGAACAGAGAGAGACCAGAGAGAGAACAGAGAGAGACCAGAGAGAAACAAGAGAGACCAGAGAGAGACCAGAGAGAGACCAGAGAGAGACCAGAGAGAGAGACCAGAGAGAAACAAGAGAGACCAGAGAGAGACCAGAGAGAGACCAGAGAGAGAGACCAGAGAGAAACAAGAGAGACCAGAGAGAGAGAGACCAGAGAGAGACCAGAGAGAGACCAGAGAGAGACCAGAGAGAGACCAGAGAAAGACCAGAGAAAGACCAGAGAAAGACCAGAGAGAGACCAGAGAGAGACCAGAGAAAGAGCCCATAGAGAGAGACCAGAGAGAGACCAGAGAAAGACCAGAGAAAGACCAGAGAGAGACCAGAGAAAGAGCCCATAGAGAGAGACCAGAGAGAGACCAGAGAAGGACCAGAGAAGGACCAGAGAAAGACCAGAGAGAGACCAGAGAGAGACCAGAGAGAGAACAGAGAGAGAACAGAGAGAGACCAGAGAGAGAACAGAGAGAGACCAGAGAGAAACAAGAGAGACCAGAGAGAGACCAGAGAGAGACCAGAGAGAGACCAGAGAGAGAGACCAGAGAGAAACAAGAGAGACCAGAGAGAGACCAGAGAGAGACCAGAGAGAGAGACCAGAGAGAAACAAGAGAGACCAGAGAGAGAGAGACCAGAGAGAGACCAGAGAGAGACCAGAGAGAGACCAGAGAGAGAGACCAGAGAGAGACCAGAGAGGGACCATGAGAGAGACCGTAGAGAGAACAGAGGGAGACCAGAGAGAAACAAGAGAGACCAGAGAGAGACCAGAGAGAGAGAGACCAGAGAGAGACCAGAGAGAGACCAGAGAGAGAGACCAGAGAGAGACCAGAGAGAGACCAGAGAGGGACCAGAGAGGGACCAGAGAGAGAGATCAGAGAGAGACTAAAGAGAGACCAGAGAAAGACCAGAATCTGACCCAAGACCAGAAAGAGAGCTCAGGTTTCATTGGTGTTTTGTGAACGTGCTCGCTGACCTGCAGGCTTGTGCGTGTTGTCAGGACTGGCTCGGATCTTCACCGAGTGGTTGTTGCGGCTCAGTGCTCTGGTGGCGGCGGCGGGGGCGGCCTTTGTGCTGAGGGGCCTCGCCGTGAGCACGAGCCTGGTGCTGAATGCTACTCTGGTGGGCGGTGGTGGCGGCGGTGCGGCCAGTCTGCAAGCCACCCTGACCGGCCTGGTGCCCCGCGGAGCCCCGGTCGGAGCAGATCCGCGGAGAGCGAGGCGGGCTTTCCGAGGGGTCAGAGGTGCTCGGAGTCGGACTGGTCTCGTGGGACTGAGGCTAATACCTTTACGACCAGTGCTTTTGGGTTTTAGCGCAGTCCTTTTGGCTGTTTTGGGTCGAATGCTGCTTGCGTTGCGTGTACGGCTGGCTGTGTGGGTGCTGGCTGTCTTTTTAACAGTCCTTTTCGCTGCCAGGGCATTAGCTTTAGCCGCAGCGACGTTAGCGATAGTGTGGCCAGTCCTTTTAGCAGCAGTGGATGTCCGTTTGAGTACCTTCGCATTAGCCTTGAGTGCAAGAACAGTGGGTTTGGCGGTTCGGCCTTTGATTTTCGTAGCAGATGGAGTTTGTTTTGTGGCGGGATTTTTTTTGCGCACAGGGGAAGTGGCCTTGGATCCCGCCACGGCCCGTTTCAGTGCATCGCCAGGCTTTGTCGCAGCAGTTACAGCTCTCGCTCGCCTTGTGGGGCTGGACGTCCTTTGCGACCGCAGTGTTCGCTTGCTTTCGGTCTGCGCGCCGGTCTGCTTGCTTTCAGTCTGCGCGCCGGTCTGCTTGCTTTCGGTCTGCGCGCCGGTCTGCTTGCTTTCGGTCTGCGCGCCGGTCTGCTTGCTTTCGGTCTGCGCGCCGGTCTGCTTGCTTTCGGTCTGCGCGCCGGTCTGCTTGCTCTCGGTCTGCGCGCCGGTCTGCTTGCTTTCGGTCTGCTTGCCGGTCTTACGCTGCAGTTTGGGAGAACCACTCGCTCTCTCTTTGGGACCTGCTCTCGGGGCCTTGCTCGGGACGCGAACAGGAGGCGCTGGTTTGGTCTTGGGGACAGCGGCTCTCCTGATGCCTGGATGCGCAGCAGGAACACGCGAGCGCTGGTGGATTGCGCGCTGCGTGTCTTTGAACTCTTTCAGCGACAGGAACAGCACTTTGCGGACGAGGCGCTCTTCGCCCCACGGCATCCCCTCACTGATGTCCTACAGAAACGTCAGAGTCGCCAGATATTATTCATTGAATATTTGTGTATATATATAATGAGTACTGAAACACCCCCATCGAGTGTTAGGAGAGGAAAAAATACACTTTGGGGGAACACATGCATCACAAACACAAAATTATAATTAGAGTAACAGAGGCTATTAACTGATTCTATTTTCATATAACTTAATATGTTTTTAAACCCCTTTTTACACTCTTTTAAGCCCAATACTTGTATGCTGCACTGATTTACTATGAAACTATTCTATTTTGATGTGCTTGTTTTTCCTTTCTGATCTGTTTGATAAAATGCATCTTGTGAAGCACTTTGAATTTTCCTTGTACACAAATTGTGCTATACAAAAAAATGCTGATTGAGTGACTGATTAACAAAAAGGGCTTTAGGGAACATTAAAAAAAAACCCTGTGCTTAAAAAAATTTGAACAATTTACCACTGGCTGATCTACAAATGCAAATCCATTTTACAGAAAGAACCACTGAAAGAAATATACTCTTAGAACAGCATTTAAAGCTAGTTTACGTTCCCCTTTTTTATTATCAGATTTAATGCAGAAGACACAATAGAAACGTCACAATCGATCAGTCCACTCATAATATTCAGTTTATGGTTTGAACTGAAAACTGAAAGAACAATTCATTGAAAAGAATACTTTTTTGTTTAGTTCTCACAAAATATTATGACTTGAATAACCATGTTTACATATCCCCCTAACAATCCTTACAGGGCTCACATGCCAAGTCCCCGTGGGCCCTGCATGCCTCGCTGCGCCCCTGCTCCAGGCCTGTGCTCATAAAGGACTCACATATCTTTTCTTGATGCGGACGCGCTTCGGTCGCTCTTCGCTCATGTCTCCGGACACAGACCCGCGGTGCACGGACCTGAAAACCGCAGAAAATGAGGAACACGTTCAGCTCCGGGTTAAATGTCCTCTCGGGTTAAATGTCCTGATGAGACCGGACTGCGGCTCACCGGTTAACCGAGAGAAGACGCCCGCAGAAGAGACGTGCTGCAGCGGTGACAGATGACGATGGAACGGAACTTGAAATGAAAAGGGCAAAAACAGCGGAGGATCTGTGGTTCGGTGTCTTTCTGCTGCAGACAAGCCGTGGATGTGCGGCACCTGCAGAGATGCTCGCGGAGCTAGAGAGAGCGCGCGTGCTGCTAGCGTGATGCTGCGATCGCCATCTTTTGTTTACCGGCCCGGCTCTGATCGTTCTCCGCCATCTTGTGTTTACTGAGGAGCAGGATTCTAATCAGATATGTGACAAAACAACAAGCTCTTTGCATATATGTGTTTATATCAGTGGGGGCGGGTCCCGGCGCAAAAAGGTCCATAAGCATGTATACTGACATACTTGCAAACCCACTCCGGGCCGCTGGGGGTGGATCCAGAAAGAACGACTTTACAGGATGGTACAAAAGTTGGCTCTTGGCCTAACTCTACGTTCCTGATGTCTGCAAGTGTCACTGCCGGGGTCAATGCGTCAAACAAATAAATCTTTTTCATGCATTAATGTTTCTGTCTTGGTCTCTTCAGATTGAATATGGTTTACATATAGATGAACAAAGTTGTCAATTCCTCAACAACAGATCAGATAATCAAATAGATTGAACACACAATAATAACACACATGTAGGAGCCATTGGGCCACAAGGAGGTGGCCACGGTCCATAAATGTTAAAAAACAGACAAAAGGACAGCAGTATTTAGATAAACAAACTACAGCTGAACTATGATGCTCTTTTTTGTGAATATTGATATCAGAGATTAAACATTAAAGCATCTCGGATTGAGTTTAAGTCTCTCCATGGCCTCAAGTAACAAGTAACAAGTATCTGCAACATGTCAGTCACTTATGAACCAATGTGGACCCTGAGGAGCAAAGGGATGGGCCTCTTGCTGGTGCCCAGAGTCTGGACTAAACATGGGGAGGCAGCGTTTCAGATGTGTGCAGCTAAAATGGAACAGTATTACTGAAAGTGTGAGACAAGCTTCTTCTTTAACAGTTTTCAAATCCAGGTTAAAACAGTGTTTAGCTGTTTGTACAACTGAAGGGTTGCATTTTCTTTACTTTTATTAATGAACTGTGATTATTATGAAGTATTTCTTGAAGTTTGTCCACATCGAATGCACTCTCTAGCTCCGACTGTCTGACTCTAGCCGTCTTTATGTTTGCACCTGCATCAGGACCAGCCGCGTCACGTGAGCTGCACAAAAGCAAAGTGCTCACCCCCCTCCCCCCTTTAGCTCCAAAGAGGATGTCCATAACAGAATAAGTAGTAAGTCTTACATAATTCACATAATAGAATAAACAAGACACAAAATGAACAGAAGTAAAAAGTTTGATAAGCCTGACTTGTTTGGCGACCCTGCATCACTCTCTGGTCTCTCTCTCTGGTTTCTCTCTCTGGCTTCTGGTTTCTCTCTTTCTGGTCCCTGGTCTCTCTTTCTCTGGTCTATCTCTGGCCTCTCTCTGGTCTCTCTCTTTGTAAAGTTATTTATAAAGTAGAGCCTCCGTATGCCTCAGTTCTCATTTGGGACTGGGACCAAACTCCGTGGCGCAGGGGGCGGCAGAGATCCTCCACTCTGCTGTCATTACGCACGGCTCTGCGCATGCCCAGTGCTTGCTCCTCAACAGCAGCGACTCTAGTTCCCCTCTCTGTGTGTGCGTGTGTTTATGTGTGTTTGGTGCAGTTCTGTTTGGGTTTACAGGGACCACTGCGCACCACACGCGTCGGAGCTCTTTAAGCACGGCTTGTTTGGACCATAGACTGGTTACAGCTCCTGTGCCATTTACGCAGGACTCGTTGGTGTCTGTATTTTACGCACACTGGTTTGAACCTCTCTCTTCAACATCTTTCTTGTGTATCTACTTTTACGCATAGACATTTAGATCCTAAACTGGTCCTGGATTGTTTTTTCACGGATAGACTCTGTGCAGTTAACAGTCTCTTGTTAACTGTTGCTGGTTCCTGGTACTTTTACGCACAGTCCATGCTCTTCGCGTCCTCGGACCATGATGTTCGAGCATCTGAAAGAGCGGCTCCAGTCCGTGCAGCAGGACTTCAGCTCCGGGTCAGTGTCTGTAGCTTCATGTCCAGTGAAATCATGCACAGTGTAATGGTTTTGACACATAAGCAAACATCTCGGGTTTTAATGCTCTTGGGTCAAAACTACAGCGATTAAAATGTAATGTTTAAGTAGTTTTAGTTTTAGATTGGAGCCTAAATGTTGTGTCGAGCCCACAGAGATCAGCTGACTGTCATGTGCCTGCGCCTGTGATTGCCCCCTCTGCTGGAGACTGGCTTTAAAACCACAGCAATAGGACTCGGTAAAAACATTTATGTCACCAGAAAGGGAGACCAGAGAGAGAGAGAGGGAGACCAGAGAGGGGGAGACCAGAGAGAGAAACGGAGAGAGAGTGGGAGACCAGAGAGCGAAAGACCAGGGACCAGCGACCCAGAGACCAAGAGACCAGCGAGCCAGAAACCAGCTGGCGAGCCAGAGACCAGCGAGCCAGAGACCAGCGAGCCAGAGACCAGCGAGCCAGAGACCAGCGAGCCAGAGACCAGCGAGCCAGAGACCAGCGAGCCAGAGACCAGCGAGCCAGAGACCAGCGAGCCCGAGACACTCAAAGCCAAAAGTCCAAATGTGTGCAGCAGCTCAGATGACCAGCGTCAGTCTTCTCCATTCTGTTTGAAAGAATAATAATAATAATAATAATAATAATGCAGTTTTATAGAGCGCTTTTTTTGGACACTCAAAGACGCTTCACATGTCATTATTATTCACTCCATACACACTGGTGGTAAACTACTGCTGTAGCCACAGCTGCCCTGGGGCTCACTGACAGAAGCGAGGCAAGCATTCACACAACTTTCTATGTCTCTAGTTCCGGGCTCTAAAACAGTTTGCTTCTATCACTAGTTTTCACATTATGTATATTTAGTCCCAAATCTCTTTGATCAGCTTTTTCAGACAGAAACGTGAAATAGAGAGGACCACCCTCACTCGGCCAATCAGCTCTCAGCCCAAAGAGTCAAATACTTTCTTTGTATTATGATGAATAATTAGGTTCAGCTTTTGTGTGGGCACAAAACTGTATGTTTCTGTTTCTGTTTCCAGGTTTAAGACTCTAGGGGACAAGTCCAAAGAATCCAAAGTTACACGGAAACCACGGTAACGACATTTGATAGTGTTATGATATTTGGGCCACAATTCAATATTATTACAAGTCTTAACATATATATATATACACCAAGTATTGTTATTCAATTCTGAGATATATTGCGAATAATGTCACTCGTATTATTCAAAGACTTTACAAACATAGAGGAAAAATAAGACGCTCAGACGTTTATTATGGTCGGCACATGAACTGAAGCGAACACAAGGCAGTGCAAAAACGGTATTCTTAAACATTCAGGACACAGGACCTTATCACAGAGACATTATTATTCTAGTCAAAACAAGAAGACATCAAAGAGGAACAGAAACCTCAGATTTAAAAACACAAAAGTGAAACGGATCATTATTTAGTTGAGAGGGAGAGTGATCGCTGCTGAGGGTCAGGAGCTCATCAGGATCCAAAATGTAAAAGTCTCAATTTAAAAAAAGAGTCAGTTGAGCCTCGGAATTTTTTTTTCCCCTTCAGATAATTATTTAGTTCAATATTGCAATATTTTGTTCTACTGTATTGATTTAATTGCATGCACAAAACTGACCAGAATTAATTTTTTCCCCCCACCACTAGACATAATCTGTTACTAAGATACAAATGTGTCTAAATGTGTTCAGTTAGATAACCATCTGTGTGTGTGTGTGTGTCTGTGTGTGTGCACTTGTTTTCAACTCCTGGTGGGTTCCATAACCTGAGATTCCACTCACGTCATGGGGACTGGTTTTACGTGGTGGGGCCCGAACACCGGACCCCACTGGTCCAAGCTTAATAATCAATGGGTAATGCTTTTCTAACGGTCCTTATGCAGTCTCTGTAAAAATATGGAAAGGACCCCTGGAGGTTTACTTTCCTGAAAAAAGTGTGTTATGTGTCGGAACCCTGGTGGTGGGTTGCGGGATATCAAGGAGGGGCACACTGGGGCAATTTCAGTCCAGCAGGCTGGAGCCAATCATGGAGCAGCACAACAGAGGAAATCAGGTGTCAGGCTAGAAAAAGGTGCAAGTGTGTGGTTCATTAGGCTGCAGCCAATCACAGAGCAGCACACTGAAGCGCACGCTTACAAACCACTGGTAAGTGCTGACTACAAGTCATGACTTCAAATTGTTATATAGAATGATTACAAATTATTTGTTGTTTGTGCAGCTTAGTCAAGAGTCCCTAATTGATGAAGTCGACTCAGATTCTGACGATTTAACTGTCAAGAAGAAACCTGTAAAAAAGTATGGAAAAAGAAAAATCAAAAACACTTTTCTTCAAGACTCGGAAAGTGACGAACCAAAGGCAAATAAGATTGTTATCATGCAGCTGCAAAAGAAGAAAAATGGGGGGCGAGTTTACAGCAAGAGACACTTCTGCCTCTACTGTTCAATGTCCTGCCACAAAATGTCCCGTCATTTGACTAGAAAACATGGAAATGAAAGTGACGTAGCCAGAGCATTGGCTCTACCTGTGAAATCTAAAGCACGTAAACTTCAGTTTGATTTGATCAGGAATAGTGGAAACCGTGAGCACAATTTTGAGGTTTTAAAGGCCGGCATTGGAACTTTAGTCCCAGCTAAACAGCCAAATTCCCCAGTTAAATCCAGTGAGTTTTTGCACTGTATAGACTGTGGGGCATTGCTTAAGCGAAAGTCGCTGTGGAGGCATGTGGCCAGGTGCCGGCTTTCACAGAAAGATGCCCAGGCTAAACCAGGCTAAACCAGGTAGAAGTAGGGTCCAGTCCCTCTGCTCCCTAGCCCAGCCTGTACCGGAGGCATCAGCAAAAAGCTGTGGTCTTTAATTTCGGCAATGCATCAGGATGAGGTCACGGGTGTTGTCAAAGCAGAAAAGGGGATTCTGAGACTCGGAGAGCACCTGTACTTAAAACACAGGCATGATAAGACTAAGCATGATTACATTAGGCAGAAAATGAGAGAAGTCGGTAGGTTAATTAACGAAGCAAAAACTGCAGGGAAACTGAAAACAATTAAGGATTTCTTTATTCCTTCCAACTTTAACCATGTGATTGATGCAGTCAGGTCTGTGGCTGGATATGATGAGGAAACAAATCAATACAAGACTCCATCCTTGGCCCTCAAACTCGGCCATAGCCTCAGAAAGCTAGCAGATATTCTTGAATGTGACTCAAAAATGGAGCATTGTGTTGATGAACTATTTATTAAAAACCTCCAACGAAGCCGGCTGCTTTTTGAGAAGAGGTGGGACGTCTGTGTTTCTTCTGCTGCCCTACAGACCCTCCGGCAAGCCAAGTGGAACACTCCGGACCTGCTCCCTCTGACTGAGGACGTTAGAGCCATGCATGCACATATTGAGGTATGTCGACCTGAATATGTGCAAACCCTAATAAGTGAGCCAACGTCTAAGCATTGGTCTAAACTGGCAGTTTTGACTCTTTGTGAGGTCATCATTTTCAATCGAAGAAGGGAAGGTGAGGTTTCAAAGATGCCACTGACAGCCTTTACCTTAAGAAGTAAGACTGGGATCCATTCTGACATTGCTCTGGGACTGTCCCAACTTGAGAAAAAGCTGTGTCAGCATTTTCAACGCATTGAAATTAAAGGGAAAAGAAGTCGGAAAGTGCCGGTTCTTTTGACTCCTGAAATGATTGCTTCGATGGAGGTGCTGGTGGAGAACAGAAGGGCCTGTTCCATCTCTGACCATAACCCATACTTCTTCTCCCGCCCGGGCGCAGACACCCACATCAGGGGATCAGACTCCTACGCCAGGTAGCCAAAGAATGTGGTGCGGTGCATCCAGAGATGCTATCCTCAACCAAACTTAGAAAGCACATAGCTACTATGTCTACAGTTCTCAATATGAAAGAGAATGAGATGGACATACTTGCCAACTTCCTCGGCCATGACATTCGCATCCACAGCAATATTACAGACTACCAGAGGGGACACTGGAGCTGGCCAAAATCAGCAAAGTGTTGATGGCCATGGAGCAGGGAAGAGTGACGGAATTCAAAGGAAAGAGCCTCGACCAGATACAAATTGAGCCTGAAGGTAATTCTTGATATTATTAAAATATGTATGATTTTTTTCCCCTAAAGGCCACTTGTATTTTTATTTTCTGTGCGACAGGGAGAGCAGTAGAGATCCTCTCACAAACGGACGGGCTAAAAGAAACTTCAAGCGGAGAACCTTCAACCATTCATCCAGATGCACCCCATGGTAGTGGCAGTGCCCCTTCTGGTAAGTGTACCAGGTGGGGGATTACAGCCAGGCTGCTTGGTCCTAACCCTGGGAGTGTATATTGCTAATATATTTTTATTTCTCTCCCTAGAACGTGTAAGAAAGCCATGGTCTGCATCTGAGGTGAAGGCTGTGGAGAAGACCATGACACCTTTCATACAGACTGGAAAGGTCCCTGGGAAGTCTCACTGCCTGGCCTGCATTAATGCCTCACCAGATGACCTTAGACATCGGACATGGAGTGGCATTAAATTCTATGTCAAAAATAGAATCACTGCAATTCGAAAACAAAATCTAAAATAAAATTCCTTTAAAATAGTTGTTTGGTTTCTATTGACTGTTTTGTATTACTTAAAGTAGTCCCCAGTAAAAAAAGATTATGTCTATGGGTCCCATTCTGAACGGCCCTGTCAAAGGGACCCACCAGGTAACAAAAATGTGTGTGTGTCTGTGTGTGTGTCTGTGTGTGTGTGTGTCTGTGTGTGTGTGTACAGGACCAGAGAGAGTGAGAGACCAGAGAGAGTGAGAGACCAGAGAGAGTGAGAGACCAGAGAGAGTGAGTGAGAGACCAGAGAGAGTGAGAGAGACCTGAGAGAGTGAGAGACCAGAGAGAGTGAGGGACCAGAGAGAGTGAGGGACCAGAGAGAGTGAGGGACCAGAGAGAGTGAGAGACCAGAGAGAGTGAGGGACCAGAGAGAGTGAGGGACCAGAGAGAGTGAGAGACCAGAGAGAGTGAGAGACCTGAGAGACCAGAGAGAGTGAGAGACCAGAGAGAGTGAGAGACCAGAGAGAGTGAGAGACCAGAGAGAGTGAGAGACCAGAGAGAGTGAGAGACCAGAGAGAGTGAGAGACCAGAGAGAGTGAGAGACCAGAGAGAGTGAGAGACCAGAGAGAGTGAGAGACCAGAGAGAGTGAGAGACCAGAGAGAGTGAGAGACCAGAGAGAGTGAGAGACCAGAGAGAGTGAGAGACCAGAGAGAGTGAGAGACCAGAGAGAGTGAGAGACCAGAGAGAGTGAGAGACCAGAGAGAGTGAGAGACCAGAGAGAGTGAGAGACCAGAGAGAGTGAGGGACCAGAGAGAGTGAGGGACCAGAGAGAGTGAGGGACCAGAGAGAGTGAGGGACCAGAGAGAGTGAGGGACCAGAGAGAGTGAGGGACCAGAGAGAGTGAGAGACCAGAGAGAGTGAGAGACCAGAGAGAGTGAGAGACCAGAGAGAGTGAGAGACCAGAGAGAGTGAGAGACCAGAGTGAGGGAGACCAACCACTTTGTCATCACGCAGCTTTTACCTAATTAAAACCAAAGTATTGCTGATAAATTCATTATGGTAATTTCTCCCTCTGGTGGTAGCATTGGGAATTACAGGCCAAACACATTTCCCTTCTTACTTTAACTATTTTTTTAATACAGAATTAAATTTCAGTTTTATTCCAAACTCAGTTTGGAATAAAACAGTCTCATTATGAATGGACAAAAATGTGGCTGTATATTTCTTATTTTACACATGTTATTGTTTGTGTTTCGCAGGTACCGAGGAGACGTCTGTGCGAAAGAGCAGCATCACGGGGGAGGAGGGGGATGAGGATGAGGAGGAGAGGGATGAAGAGGAGAGCAGTGACCTGGAGCTTGAGGAGGAGGTTTTGCCGGACGCTACCCTGGACCTGTCCTGAGACCTGATCCTGGAACCCCATTGGCTAGATTTACAAAATGGGCGGGGTTAATGTGCTGGTTTGATTGATGTTAGAAGAAAGAACTAGAGCTGCACGAGAGAGCGAGACCAGAGAGGACGAGACCAGAGAGGACGAGACCAGAGAGGGCGAGACCAGAGAGGGCGAGACCAGAGAGGGCGAGACCAGAGAGGACGAGACCAGAGAGGACGAGACCAGAGAGGACGAGACCAGAGAGGACGAGACCAGAGAGGACGAGACCAGAGAGGGCGAGACCAGAGAGGACGAGACCAGAGAGGACGAGACCAGAGAGGACGAGACCAGAGAGGACGAGACCAGAGGGGACGAGACCAGAGAGGGCGAGACCAGAGAGGGCGAGACCAGAGAGGGCGAGACCAGAGAGGGCGAGACCAGAGAGGGCGAGACCAGAGAGGGCGAGACCAGAGAGGGCGAGACCAGAGAGGGCGAGACCAGAGAGGGCGAGACCAGAGAGGACGAGACCAGAGAGGACGAGACCAGAGAGGACGAGACCAGAGAGGGCGAGACCAGAGAGGGCGAGACCAGAGAGGGCGAGACCAGAGAGGGCGAGACCAGAGAGGACGAGACCAGAGAGGACGAGACCAGAGAGGACGAGACCAGAGAGGACGAGACCAGAGGGGACGAGACCAGAGAGGGCGAGACCAGAGAGGGCGAGACCAGAGAGGACGAGACCAGAGAGGGCGAGACCAGAGAGGGCGAGACCAGAGAGGGCGAGACCACCAGAGAGGGCGAGACCACCAGAGAGGGCGAGACCACCAGAGAGGGCGAGACCACCAGAGAGGGCGAGACCACCAGAGAGGGCGAGACCACCAGAGAGGGCGAGACCACCAGAGAGGGCGAGACCACCAGAGAGGGCGAGACCACCAGAGAGGGCGAGACCACCAGAGAGGGCGAGACCACCAGAGAGGGCGAGACCACCAGAGAGGGCGAGACCACCAGAGAGGGCGAGACCACCAGAGAGGGCGAGACCAGAGAGGGCGAGACCAGAGAGGGCGAGACCAGAGAGAGCGAGACCAGAGAGGGCGAGACCAGAGAGGGCGAGAGGAGACCAGAGAGGGCGAGAGGAGACCAGAGAGGGCGAGAGGAGACCAGAGAGGGCGAGAGGAGACCAGAGAGGGCGAGAGGAGACCAGAGAGGGCGAGAGGAGACCAGAGAGGGCGAGAGGAGACCAGAGAGGACGAGACCAGAGAGGACGAGACCAGAGAGAAATACCACAAAAATTGCATTTTCGATCACGATTAATTGTTCAGTTCTTGGTCTGTTACAGATCTTACTTTAGTTTTCAATATTTGCTGAAACCTTTTACACAAGTGAAAGACCTGGAAACCTTTTTCTACATCTCAAATCACAGATAACTCCACCATCCTGCAGCACTGGAGGCTTTTGTTTCTCAACGTTGTGCGTCCAAATCTGAAATCTTCTGATGCCAACATGATCTAGCGTTGTAATGCTAACATGAGCGAGCTTTGTAGAGCTAACACAAGCTAACTATATAATGCTGATGTGAACTAGCTTTATAATGCTATTGATAACTAGCTTTGTCATGCTAATGCAAACTAGCCTTGTAATTGTTTGTGATCTGCATTTATGGTCAGCTTCAAAAATACACTGGAGATGTCGTATTTACTAGCTTGATGTAAGTTCAGTTAGTCAGCTAATGCCAACTTGAGCTAGCTTTGCAATGCTAATGTGAGCTCACGTTAGCGTTACAAAGCTAACAGGAGACTTTCTCTCAAACAGGCAGGTTTGTAATAAATCTTATGTTTTCAAAACATCTGCGAAAATGTTCCTGCATTTATCCTGTTAACAACAATGGTGTGTGTGTGTGTGTTTTGTCTGTTCACAGAAGTCTCTATTTAAACTGGAAATAAACTGTTATTTATCCAGATTTCTCTGTGTAATGATATTGTGTGTTCAGTACCAGTGTTATAATGTATTAACCATAAAGGGAACAATATAAACATTCTTCAAGTCTTCAGTACCGAGGCCCCAGGGATCCAAACGAGCGAATTATGCCTACTCACTAATCTGCAGGCCTACCCATAATTACAAACCTGGCGCCGCTACTGACCAAAACATCCCCCAATTTAAAAAAAAATATTCTGAAGAAAATGTAATGGTTTTCTTTTTGAATGATATATACATGGTGTGTTGTGTTAATGAGTCATTAAACTCAAGGAGTTGGAGCTGATAAGATTACACACACACACACAGACACACTGCAGAACTGATTAAAACAGAATCATAAATGATTGAAGTCATTTTCTGTGTTCCTTCAGTCGAGTCCATAAACACAACTCACATTTATGACTTTATTCAACTGTGGATTTGAATCAAACAAAAATCATGTGGAGAGATTTTCAGGAAGTGCAGGAATTGCTGCCTTTTATTTTCACTGAAGGCTCAAATGTTTCAGCACTATTCAGTCCAGACCCGGTCTAGGTCCAGGTCCGGGCCAAGGTCCAGACCCGGTCCAAGTCCAGATATGCTCTTCATTGTGCCCAGGACCAGACCCCCAGGCCATTATGAGGCTGAACATCCTGCTCTGACTCATCAAAGAAATTCAGGTCACGCCCCGTCATAAAAAGAAGAAAAAAATATAATTCATACATATTTTTTCAGACGAACAGGAGCAGCAGATAAAACCAAGGATTCCAAGAACAAACACTGCTACACTTTTAGAGACTATTTTCAACGATTCCTTATTTCAATTTTTTTTGTCCCAAAACATTTGGAGCAACAGACTGTATACAGCCCTAGCTCAAAGAAGTCCAATAGGGAAGTGCTCATGAATAAAGTTTTTCTCCAACCTGCTCTGACTCCATTTGACTTACATTGAAAAGTAAAGTCCATATTTTGCTTTTATCTTTGTTACTACAGATATGAGCAAAGGATTTGACCAAATCAATTCAATGTATTTTTCTTTAGCCCTAAACCACAACTGCAGTCATCTCAGAGGACTTAACAAAACCATTGAAATCCCCAACACAGATCAGAGAATCAACAGTTAAGACACAAAACACAAACAAATATATTGGTCCATAGGGAGATACCAATGTCCATGAATGTTGATAAATGTCATACATGTTGTAGATGTTAAAGTGTCCGGGATCATCATCACAGTCCTTCTAGTTGGACACTAACTGCCCAACAGACCCTCCTGCATCGGCAAGGAAAAACTCACAAAAACCGGGGACACCCACATTTGAGAAAGGGATCCGCTCCTACACGGACGGACGGGCTGATGTCAAACAGTTTCAACACAGGACGTGCAATTATAACAAAACATAAGAGCCATTAATCCATCGGGAGTGGGGTGACCAATGTCCATAAATGTATGACCATTTGAGGGAAACTCCAGCTTGGCTTAGAAAACGTCTTAACAACCATCTTGGCATTTGTTACGGCGTGAATATACAGTAAAGCCACAGACTAACGGCACGGTGGCTGAGTAGATAGCACTCTCGCCTCTCAGCAATAAGGTCCTGGGTTCGAATCCCGGCCAGACCAGGGCCTTTCTGAGTGGAGTTTGCATGTTCTCCCCGTGTCTGCGTAGGTTTCCTCCGGGTGCTCCGGTTTCCCCTACCACTAAAAATATGTACAATAGGTCTGACATGTGCCTCCTGTACCGGCCCCACTCCCAAAAATAACAATTGTAAACCGCTTTGAGACTTGATGTGCAGTGAAAAGGCGGTATATAAATAAAGATTACTACTTACTACACATGATTAAAGATGCAGTTTCATTTCAAACCTGTTGTTGTGTTGCTGCCTCCACATTTATGGACCTGACGTACTATATAAACCGGGATATTACACAACAATCCTTTTTACAACAACCTTTACCGCCACAAACACTGGGAGCGATGCCGATCAAAGGGACATCTGAGAGCATGGTCCCGCCTGAGACCAGTGCCCCCCACACGGAACACGCCCTGAGTTCATGTGTTGTCATTTTGCCCTTTAGATTTGGTAAGACTCCAGACTAAGACTGCATTAGAATCATATTATTACATCTTTGCATGCATACATTTTATCTGCATGATCAAGTACAAGGGCAAGAATGATCATGATTATTATGTTTACTGTTGAATGCTCTGGAAACGGCAGCAAGTCCAATGTTGCTCTGAAACAGTTGTTTTTTTGTGCTTTACAATTGTTATCTATGTTGCTTTTTTCTGCCTGAGATGTTGCTGCAGCACCGTGTTCATGGTTTTGTACTGGTCCAGACCGGAGCGGAGAGGATTCATGGTCCGAACGAAGCGGATCAGGCCAAAAGCCACTGGAGGAATGCAAACTAAAAAAAATAAAAAATATAATGCTAACAAAGAATTTTGCGTTTTATTTTGGACCAGAGCAGAGATATTGGTCCGAACCAAGCGGCTACTCCACCTCTGCTGCTGTAGCATTTTAATATTATTATTAGCTAATTATCTATTTATTTGCTTTGTTTGTTTTGATGAATGTGTTTCTGCTGCTTCTGGAAAACCTGAATTTCTCCTAGGGGGATCAATAAAGTCTCCATCCATCTCTGCTCTAGAGAGAAAGGAGATACTCTGATCACCCAAGCAGGCAGGAAGAGGCAACTCAGGGGTTTGGGAATCGTACAAGTGTGCTCAGAGGAGGAGTTACAAAAAAAGCATAGCCCAGAGAATAAAAAGTATTTAATCTAATTTATTTTCCTTGCATCAGCATCACTTCATAGCTGCATTTACACAATGCCTCTCAGTTGTTCGTGCAGCAACCCTCCTCTTCATCACCGCCTTTTAACTTGAAATTTGCCATATAACTGGCTCCAGAAGGGTTCCCACACTCACAATCAGGCTATTAAATTCCCTCCTGAAGACATCAAACAGTATTTAACATAGTCATGTTTAAATGCAATAAATATAAACCTCACCCTGCGGGGGTCTAATGTCTGATCTGCAGATACAACATAACTGTGCAAAGATTGACATGAACATT